TGTTATATACAAACATTTCATATTGAAAAAGGATATAACTTCATATTATATTAATTTTTATAATAATAAACATATATATAAAGATTATTATTCCTTTAAATAAAATAATATAGTTTATTATTTTCTATATTTTCAAAAATGATTAATTTATGAGATTCTTTTTTTAATTTTATAAAATTTAATATGTGACAAAATAAAGATAAGAAAAACATTAATTTACATTTCTTTTTATCATATATATATAGTAATTCTCAGTGAAAATCAATTACTATTCAAAAGAGAATCATTTTTTTAAATCAAATAAATTGAATTTCTTTGAGAAGTTAGAAAGATTTGAAAATGCTAGAAATTTATTAGATAATGTATAACAATTTTTTTAAAATTATTATTGATTAAAATTGCGAAAAAAAAGTAAATTTCGATTTTTAACTTTATATAAGTCTATAAGAAAATTTAAAATTTAAAATTTATCAATCTAAGTAAATTATACATTTATAAAGTTTCATCAAAATCAATTAATGCATAGAACAATATAAACATTTTTAGATTTTTTTAGTTATATAGATCAAAAATCGTGAAAAATTGCGAATTTGAATATTTTTGATCTTTTGTAACTCATAATTAATGAAATTTTGATGAAATTTTATGTAAATAACTTACTTAAATCTATAAATACTTACTTGTTACATTTAACTTATTTAGATTACATTTATATTTTATTACATTTACAAAAGCAAAAATTTTTTTTGGCTTAGATAAAAAAGTTAAAAATTATAATCTTTGCTTTTTTTTCTTTGTGATTCTGACTGATAATAATTTTTTTTAAATTTTTAATAAATTGATTTTAATAATTAATATCTAACGAATATTTTTCGAATATCTTTCTAACATTTTAAAAAGATTCAATTTGATTTCATTTGATTCAATTTTTAAAAAATTATTCTATCGGTAAAGAATAACCGATTTTCACTATGAACGATTTTATTTTGAAATTGATGTTCATATGTTCTATATATATATATATATATATATATATATATATATA